ATGCATGTTTCTCACAAGCGCCCTTTTCGTGTGAGAGGGGTGAGAGGAGAGGTAGTGAACCAGGATGCTTTTACTACTTGGCTTTCGATACCACCTCGTAATGTAGCCGTTTTCTGATAGGCCAATTTTCACGTTCAGAAATGGAAGCCGGTTTTCTTCTGGTTTCTCTCGGGTGAATTGAATATACTCTGACTGTTCGTTCAACAACTCGAAATAACCAATCAGTCATCTATATATCTACAGTAGAGTAACGGACCGAGGTCGATTACTGAAAGAATTATTCAATCAATGCCGAGGTTAATAGAAAGTCAGACTTGGGAGTTACTACAAAATACATATTGTTTGCTTTGTTGATAATAACTTCTCCACAAGATCAAACCTTAGCCATGCGAAACAAACGCTGACCGAATTCGACAGCTATTTTGAGACATCTGTTCTTCTTCGACGCTACGTAGACAGAATGAATCATTTACCGTTATATCACTTATCACCGAAAGTATAGAAGTATAACCCATATGACGAACGCAGAATAGGGAGCCAGAGTCCCCAGCTACTTCAACGATAGAAGATTGTTTGATAGGCGAAGATATGGAAAATCTAATTTAGCGGACAAATTGTGCGTCTTAGCGACTACTGGATAACAGCCGTTAGGGACTGGTTCATGCAAGAGCTTAAGCACACTGCAGGTGGATTATGCATATCCGGCCTATAGAATGAGTTACAGTGGTTCACTGATGTATAGCGAACGTTGTTATCCTATTAGACAGGTCTGGTAAAAATTTACTGGACCCAGAGGAGAGAAAGGATGGCCAGCCCGGGGCGCCGTCGAAACAATGACAGCGTGTGTATTGCAGTGCACCGCTAACCACTGCACTGCAATATGCCCGAGAGCAAGTGCTAGTGATAATACCATTTTAAAGATTATTTCTTACTCAACGTCTTGGAGAAATCTTTTTACAACACCTAATTTTGAAGTGCTTACAGCACACAGATGCTTCAAAATGTCTCGTGTCTGTGCCATGAGTCACAATGGCGTAGAAGGCCGTAGGCGCCGCAAGCAGCTGAGAGCTCTAATCGAAGCTGGTGCTCCTAAAAACAACTGACGAGGTTGCAGAAGGACTCGTTAATTAATCGACAGTACACTATTATTCTCAAGACGTTGTGCAGGAGAAAAAACTCGATAAATGGATGCCACACCATTTTAAAGATGTGAAAAAAGATCATCAGAAAGTTTAGACTTCGCTTCCTTTTGAATAAAATGACTGCATTTTCTGACAAAATTATAATTTATGGCAAAAACTAAACTGTAGGTGACAAATGGGGTTCTGGGTAAAGGCTGGGCCGAAATAAAGCTCTTAGACCTTTGAACTAGAAGAGGAGGAGGTATGGTGAGTTTGGCGATCCGTAACGAAGCTAACTCAATACGACTTGCTTGAGCCTTAACAAAGAAAGTCGAATTCTGTGACACGAAAATAACCGAGCATGCACTAATGCTGGAGGAGTTGAACGAATTAGGATACGAAACTGTGCCCCATTAGGCGTATTCACCAGACCCAGATTTAATTGACGATAACTTTTTTCGCATCGTTAAAACTACTCCCTTTGAAGTTCTTCAGTGACCATTCCTGTAGTAATGTGGCTTCCAGCAAAATCCACCAAGAATTTTGACATTCCAAATCATAAACTCTTTAAGCTTTTGGTCTCGAGTAATCTCAGAGCGATGTGTTATGCATTCGCCTTTACCAAGTATCGGCCGAAGTGAATGAATGCACATCTGCGGCCGAAGTGAATGAATGCACATCTGGCCTAGGTAAAGACTTTTGGTGGACTACCGATCTATTAAGTCAGTGCTAGTAGACACGTCCGAGGCGAGGCTTGTACCGATTTGCCACCTTCGAAAGGGTGGAAATCGAAGTGAACAGGCGAAGCGGAATCCAGGACAGTGTGTACTGCAAAGCGCCTCTAAGCATGTGCTAAGTGCCATCGTTCCGAGTTGAAGTAATACATAGATTTGTAACTGCCACGACCGACTTTCTATTAACCTCGGCATTGATCAAGTGATTTTGTTCGTATTTTTTTGAGCAAACGCGAAAATGGCTACATTACAAAGTGGTACCGAAAGCCAAGTAGTAAAAATATCTTGGTTCATTACCTCTCCTCTCACCCCTCTCACACGAAAAGGGCGCTTATAAGAAACATGTTTCGAACAGCAACCAACGTGTGCACGGGAAGAGAGCAGAGAGAGGAGTCCCGGAACTTGGCACGGCAAATAGCCGTTTCTAATGGCTACGAAACTGTAGCTCAGGATAGGTGTAGAGGAAATCGTAAGCCTCCAAACGACAACTCTAGCGATAGAAGGGTCCCGTTTATCCTACCCTTCATCTCAAATGATATAAGTACAGCTATAAAACGCTGCTTAAGAAGGGCGGGCTCAGAGAATTCGGTGAGCGTAGTTGAAATACCACCGAGTAATCTTAAGCGCCAGCTAGTTCGTAACCGCCTATATGACCGTCTATGTGCAACTCAAAATTGCATAATTTGCCCCAGTGGTAGAGACGGTGATTGCATGAGCTCGGGTATAGTTTATTTGATCTCCTGTAAGACGTGTGGTGACGAATACATTGGCGAAACGGGTAGACCCCTCTGTGTCCGCATGAAAGAACACCTAGCCGGCAAAAATAGACCAAACACCCCGCTAGGCACGCATAGGGCCCAGAGACATAACGGGGACGACTTCGAAGTATGTGTCACGATCCTCGCACGCGAATCGAGAACACAGGCGCGAAAAACCCTCGAGGCACTCTGGATTAATTCCAGAAATCCGAAAATGAACCGCAGGGAAGAATGCCTCATTATCACGCGTGATATAGGGCAGTATATAAAACTGCTTTTCTGATGTGAGGGGCACATTATACTTCCACGTGATTTCTGTGCGGTTGGTCTCTACGTGACATACTTAGTGGAGACCTCATAGAAAGCGGTGAGTGTGCAAAACTGCGTTCAAAGTGATTGAAATCTTGGTTTGGGGTTTCTTTGTTTGGTTATGGAGGCGTCTGGCCGAGTAAGTTGCTATCAACTTGACCTTTCCAGGCTCTGAAGAAGGCGAAATTCGCCGAAACGTCAGCCTAATCGTGAACAAAGAACAATAACACCTCGCGTTTGCTCAAAAAAATACGAACATAGATTTGTGTTTTCCTTTCAAACATGTGTATATTCTCACAGGTTCCAATCCAATTGTGAAAGAGTTATGTGCTAGAACCGAATCATAGCATAGCATTTCAAAGTTGTCTTGACGAAAAGCGCTGAAGGAAAGCTCACTGCATTGCGTTAGGAGGATGAGGGGAAGCTGCGTCTCAACACTTAGCAAAATTTTCCTCTTGTGTGGATTATAAAGCACAAAATTAGGATTAAAACTTTTATTTATTTCATTTGGAACAGAGTGAATTTAGTTCTTCACGTATTTTTCGACCATTTCTTGCGCCTTTTCGTCTGAAATTAATTCATCATCAGTCTTGCAGTTCGGTTCTCTAAAGCTCCGTCTGTTTGTTGTAAGACGGAGAAAAAAGTGAATGAACAAGAGAATACAGGGATAAATAAAGAAAATGCAGGAAAAAAGAGAGAGGGGAAGTACGAAGATGGCTGAGAGAGACCGAAAGGAAAGATGTTACACTTACTGGTGAACACCGACGTAAGGATCGGGAAGTGCTTCTTGAAATCGTCTTTTGCTGCGTCAGATAGTTTCTCGAACTCCTCAAGGTGCCTGTAAGAATTGAGAACCTTAGTGTAAATACTGTATGTCAAACGGCATAAGAAAGGGTAGCAATGCTCCAATAATAATAGTAAGAATGATGATACACCGCAGTATTTAGAAAACGAACTTCCTGGCCTCGGTCTTCAGTTCTTCAAGGGACGGTTTCATTCCGGCAAGTAGTTCAGCGTGGAATTTACGTGCGGATGCGTTCAGCTAGAAAGTGGAAATTTATTTGACCCATTAGAAAGGTAAGCAAACCTCACAACATTTTTATTTCCTCGGCCAGGTCATAAATTTTATTGGTTACGTAATTGACATGAGTGGTCATGAGATGTTTCAGTTGTTTTTTTTTTGTTTGTTTAAAGGAATGTAAGATAAAATACTCATCATAAAAAAGGGTATCAAGGTCTTTGCTAGGCAACATGGCTTTTATTTTTGCTTCACATTAAGGCCATTTCAAGTCTAACTGACTTTCTTTCATCCTAACATGTTCTCTTTAAAATTATTTAATACATTATAAAATATTTATTATGAATGTACATTTTCGGGATTCACGGAAGGAAATTCTTCAAATAAAACTCCTTAAAGCTTTAAAAACCTCTTGGCGTTGATCAATCCTTCAGGATGCGCCATGCATTCGACTTCATTAAGTATTGTCTGAGGTGATTGAATGCATGTCTGGGCTCTACAATAACTCGCAGTGGCCTACCGATGTATCGAACCAGTGCTCCTATCCTCCCTGACAATTTCTGTACCAATTTCTCGACTTCGGAGGGATGGAAGGCTTAGTGAGCCATGGGTACGAGGATCGATTCCACGAGCGTGTCGCAGTGGCGCCTCCAACCGTTGCGCCACACGCGCCCTCAGTCAAACTCCATGACATAGTAAATAACCATTTTGCATATCTACTTAATATAATTAGCCTGTAAGTCTCGCTCAGCATCTTAACGATGATACTGGACATTGGCCTGTTTTAGTTTCCTAGTTCCTTGTTAGCTCAGAAGAATTTCCCAGTAAATAAGGCCGTAACAAAATCGCCGCCAACTGAATGAATCGCCACGTAACAGCTACCTCTTCGTACAAATCTAATCCAGGATTTCTTCCTGGATATTTCTCGTTATATCCCAACGATAGAACAACAATCGAATGGCCCATTGAACTTGGCACTGTGCTCCAAAAATAGCTGGTCAGCCGGTTCTAGCCACTAAGATTGATTCATAAGGGATTTCAAAGCGGTAATATTTAAGAGTTAAAGAAAGAAAGCGAAAGGATCGAAAGTAGAAAGCTCAGAGCTCCAAGTGTGTTTCGCTATTTCTCTTGTGCCTAGTTTTAGAAAAAGAATATCTGGAATTATAGACATTACCTTCTTCACAAATTCTTTCGCTTCGTCTCCGAGTGCATCAATTTTTTCCTTGAGCATATCGTGAAGTTTTTTGGCCTTCTCGTGTAGGCTCTCTGATTTCTCCTTCAGCGCCGCCATGAACTAAAAGTGAAATAAAACTAGAACCTCTCGCTGCTATTTACAGTGTTTTATGCTAAATCAGTTTAAATCTGAATACTACGGCAACTAGTGTCACCTCATCTTCGTCCTTGTATTTAGCATAATCTTTTACGAGTTCCGTCAAGACTTTCCTTTCTTCGGGCGTGATGGATTTCAAGTGTTCAGCGACTTTTTCCGGAATGATCTCTGGAAAAATTATTGGCGTTCTTAGATCAGCGATAAAAGAAATACCAATAAGAATGGTTGTTATTGTTGTTGATCAGGCTCTTCTTAACACTTTTTCTATATGTGGAGATTATCCGAAGTCAAGAATAATTTTCCTTACCTCGGTACTGTTGCGGAATGTCCTCATACTTTTCGATGGTCGATGGATATGCCAGAGCATACGCGAACAAAAACGAGAAGTAAGCAAGTTGAAGCATCCTAAAAGTCTAGGAAGGAAATCGCAACCGTAATGATAACACTGTTAAAAGCAAGCTTTTGAAGACCTGCACTGTGGAGAGACTACTTAGGCTAAAGCGAATTCAATGCTTCCACCATGAAATTCTTCGTGTGCGTTCGATTTACAAATGACTCAAGAAAAACTTCTGTTTTTTACTTCGAAATATAACCATCAACCAATTTGAACGAGTAAGAGTAACACTAATTGCTTCTTCAATCCCACCATAGCTGATCATCGGGCGCTCGGTGTTCGGGTACCCTTGCGTTCGGATGGGTCGTCACATTTGAGCATTATTACTTAGTCTACACTTTTACTGCTTTTGAGGGAAAGGTCACGAGTAGTTCGATGAGATCTCGCATACATGGGTTTACTCTTAATTGGGCTTCGTGACTGGAATGCCAGGCTGCTCAGCTACCGTGACTCCTGATAGAACAACGATGACTATTATGTACATTGCAGTTCTATTGGAGACCACTGAGAGCTTCGAAACAGTGCTTTTCTTCTTTAATAACCAAAAAGTCGCAAAATTTCCTTTGATTGTGGAGATTTTTAGGAATGTAAAAAACTTACATCTAGAGCTGGTAGCAGAAGAAGGAGATGTGAATGACGCCAGTGCTCCGTTCGGTCGTTTTATATTCGCCAAGCAATAGGCGGACCAATACACTGTGGAGAATCCGAGATGAAAAGAACAATATCGATATCGAGCAGAAAATGAGAAAAAGCATTGGTTTCGTGCAATAAACCAAGGGTCTTTAGCTAGCTCTAGACGATGGTATTGTCCAGGATATGTAGAGAACAGACGGCACGAACAAGCATTACAGCAAGATGATCCCGAAGATAAAAACTGCACGACAGCCTGAGGAATGTGTTTTGCCGATTGAAACTCTGTTAAAAAATGTTGCAGCACTAACAGTAACAGCAGCAATATGACAAATATCCTTTGATTTTAGTAGCTTTTTCAAGGTAAATACATTTAAATAAACAGCACCTCCTTAGGGGCAAAATGATGAAACGTTCGCTCTTGATCTCTCTCTTAAGGATGCGTCATGCAGTTCCTAATTTTTTTTCTGCTTAAGAGGTTGAACTTCACCGAACTACAAGCAGAAGCACTCGTTGCGTTTTTGTTTCAACCACTGCCTTATACTCACTGATTGTTGCGCTGGTTACCAAAACTTAGTGCTGTTTCTCCTATTTCTTCGTATTTTAACGATACTTAATTCCACCGAGATCCACTAAACGAAGCATTGGTTTGGAAGCCACTCTACCTAGAGCATCATACACACACAATTCAACTCAGCTCCTATCTGCTCCGCTAGATCGATGCGTGACGCCTAGAACCAAAGGATTGATGAATCGGAAATGTTGCTGTTTTCAGCCGTCTATTTATCGATACCTTCCCGGAAGTTGTGTTATATATGTATTAAATTTATGATAAATACATCAGACAGTGAGAAAACACTGCTGAACGGTGGCAACAACATTTCTAACATTCTAACAAATGCGGTGAACACCAGTTTTAAGCTTTGTACAATTCTCTCAGGCGGAGAAGAACTTGACCTTAATAACGGCTCCGATTTAAACGAGTTTGTAGTTTTTCGTTAATAAGGGCTCACTTTGACGAAATTATCACTGTGGCGGTTAATTTTTCTGTATTGAACTGCGACGTACAATAAAACTTTTGTCATCCCATCACAAGATCACCCAGGCCGAACAAGACGAGATTTACATACGGATATTTGGACAAAAGTGAATCCATATCAGTTAGCGTGGAGAAATCTATTTGTAAAACGGCTATCCTCGTTCTCATAGCCAAAAGTCGACAACTGCTCGTGATGACGACCTTCGAACGTCGTGACATATATCCCGAAAATACAAGAAAGAACAAGACATGCTCAACCAGAGAGATTTTATTCAGGTGTGAATAAAAAAAATAAAGAATAAAGTTCTTGGTGTTGATCAATCTCTTAGGGATGCGCCATGCATTCGACTCCATTGAGCATCGTTCAAAATGATTGAATGCATATCTAGCCTTTACAATGATTTGCAGTGGCTTACCGATGTATCGAGCCAGTGCTGGTATCTTTCCAGACAAGTCCGATACCAATTTGCCGACCCCGGAGGAGTGGAAGGCGTGGTGGGCCATAGGCGCGGGGAGCGATTCCATATGTGTGTCGCAGGGCGCCTCTGACCATTGTGCCACACGCGCCCTCAAGTACGGATATTCTTTGTTTTCGTGAAGATATCCAGGTATAGAGATTAATAGGCGAGATTAATTCTAGAAATGTTCTCTACTTAGACTAAACAGATGGCAGTGAATATCTGAACAAAATGTGTCACACATCCTTATTTGTCCTTTTTCCTTCTTTCCTTATCTTGTTGATGTAGTTGCTCTCCACGTAACGTGAAGTGGAGTTGACGTGAGCCATTACGAACATTGTGCAAACAGAACAATAACTGTTAGTATTGACCACACGATTTTCATTTTATATTATCTAGCAATGAGAATATTGTTAAAGCCACATGCACCAAATTTTAAGACACATTTTTCGCTTTGAGGAGCAGTGTTTCCGTTGTTACTTTACCCATAACGGTCGCAAGCGGTGACGTGAATTTATGATAGTTTCGTGACAAACTTGACATCACTGAAGATGGACGAGGTTCGGGGTGATATGGTGTCATCGACGATGACTATGTGGAATTTTGAACCGCATATGTGCACAATAAAGCTTGCGAAAGAAAAAAAAACTAAGTCTACCAAAAGAATAACTTGTGAATAGTTTTTAACTTTTTGTTTACTGCCTATAACTTTTTCACGTGAATGACAGCCACAGTGATGCTGAGATATTTGCAAAACTCGTGAATACCTGCACCAAATTGGAACGTAATGAACCCCACAATGGTGTGTCCTTTGAATTGGACGGAACACGAAGAATTAAGGGGCAGGATATCAATTAAGTAGGAGCGAGGAAGATGTTGTAGGGAAATCACCAACACCGCCATTTCCTCAATCGTTCTTTAAGCAGCAACTCACCAACAATGAAGTTGATATCAAATTTCGGATATGTGCGAACGAAACTTTCAAAGTCCTTAGTAATTATTGCGTGAACAGGCTTCCCTCCAATCTCAGAGAAACGCAGAAATATGGTATGCGAGAGGTTCGAGAGCTGATAAAGTTAAAAACATCAGATTGTCCGTTAATGATAGGAGTGGTGAGTTTATTGTAATTTCCCATTGAATAGATGTTGAGATAACGAAAAAGCACCTTAATGATGTTTCCCTTCATCGCCCATCTAAGAAGGAATTCAAAAGTCACAACCCAAAGTTAAACAAGGAATGGGTTAGAATGGCAAAACCGGCCGCCTTAAAACCATCAGCTACTTCACAACCCAAAGTTGAATTACGAAGATGCCTTATTCCATACTTATTAAACCCCATAAGTTGTGTCCACTGATGACCTTGCGTTTGCCAATCCATCGTTATTTAAGGTTAGACCTATCACTGGTTCTGTAGATGGACTAACGAATAGAATAGCATGGTTTTTAATCCTACTAATTACCCAGTTGTCGAAGCATATTTCAGCGCATTTTAAGAACACCCAGATGTTCTCAGATTGCCTACGAAACACGCGTACGTGATGGAGCCCTTCGACGTTATAACATTTTTTACAAACGTGTCGAATGACTCGGCTGTGCAAGCCATTCTCGAACTCCTTAAACAACACGAAAAAGTAATAGACAGATATGGTTTCTCGATTCAACAGTTGATGACCCTCTGAAAGAGATGCTTAAACTGCTCAGTCTTCAGATGGTCAGGAAAATAATACCCACAAATGAGGGAGTTGGCAATGGGGCATCGAGATGCACCAAGCCATGCCACTGCATTTATGTCTAAGGTGAAAGCACCAGTAACCGATCTCCGTGCAATTAACTTTCGCTGGTTAACAGATATTGCTTTGTCACTTACTCCACCCAAAAGGAACTGAGCAGATGTTTTAAGTTATTGAATGACTAGTCGGAGTACAAGTTTACCTAAGAGAAACTGTGGAAAAACTGGCTTCTATTTCCGAGGGTGCAAATCAACCTATCCGAAAACGGCTACATTACTACGAAATGGTACGGTACCGAAAGCCAAGTAACAAAAATACAGCGGTTCATAGCCTCTCCTCTCATTTCTCATACACAAAAAGGGAGCTTGTAAGAAAGACGTTCCAAACAGTCACGAATGCGTGTACAAGAAGAGAGCTGAATGAAAAATCCCTGGAACTGGCGCGGCAAATAGCCATTTCCAATGACTACAGAACTACAGCTTCTCGGGATAGGTGTAGAAGAAAACCTAGGCCTCCAAACGATAATTCGAACGACGATAAGGTCCCGTTTATCTTGCACTTCATTTCCAACGAATTGAGTTGAGCTCTGAAATGTTGCTTAAGAAGGGCCGGTCTAGAGAATTCGGTAATGAAATACCACCGAACACTCTAAGACGCCAGCTGGTTCGTTACCACCTATATGACCGTCTATGTAAAATGCAAACTTTCACAATATACTCTGACGGTAGAGATGGTGATTGCATGAGTTCGGGTACGGTGTGCCTACTCTCTTGTAAAGCATATGGGGACGAATACGTTGCGAAACAGGTAGACCATCCTGCATCCATTTAAGGGAACACCTAGTCGATAAATTCAAATTGAAACTAAACACTCCACTAAGCTTGCACCTTGCACAAGATCCAGATAGATAACGGAGAATATTTTAGAAATTATCCTCCTCGAATCGAAAACTTAAGCGCGCAAAGCTATCGAAGCATTCTGAATAGACTCCAAGGATCCGAAAATGAACCGCAGGGAGGGATACTTCGTTGCCACACGTACATCGTTCATGCAGTATTTGAGAGTGATAGTTTAATGTGAAAGAGGCACATTACGACTCCATATGAACTCTCTGCGGGTTGATCTCTAAGTGAAATATTCAGTAGAAGACTCAT